CCCCAAAACCCCAAAACCCCAAAACCCCAAAACCCCAAAACCCCAAAACCCCTTAAAAAATATTCAATATTGACAATCAAAAATTATAAATGAGTGAAGTTGTAGACTCCAGTATGAGTGAAGGGAAGAAAGCTCCATTTGAGAACGCCATCAAACGTAAGTTTTACTGACCCCGGAAGGCGACTTTCTGAGATTTTAATGAATCCTTGTTGAATATAGATGCTGTATACTCCTCAAACTGCAATACAAATAATATCAAGGTTATGAAGATGAGAATTTTTAAAGTGAAATCAGGCACTGTGCCTCATAGCTTGAACATGAGCCCTCGACCGAGGTCTCCTCCAAAAGCTTTTAAAGACTCTTGTGAGGTTGATGACGATGAGAATGTCCAGGAGTCTTTTCGAGAAAATATGAAGCCGCTTATTTCAAACTTCAATCGTCCTCGGGAAGAAATAAAGGATCCTTGCTACAAGAATTATTCACAGAAGTCTTCTACACCTAATTCTAAGAACATCAGCTTTGCCGAAGAAATCTTTAAATAAAGTTGAACATGACAGCGCCTCACTTGGAGATGCAAATGAAATGGGAAGCCAAAGCTTCAGAAAAGGGTTCTTAGAGTATGACTACAGAGTCAAAGGTGAATCTATAAACCTTAGCCATAAGAACCTGTATGAGGTTAATCACAAGGACTTCGGCACTTCTAGAATCATTTCGATAAACCTTCAGAACAACAGAATCACTAGAATCCCAACTCTGAATACTCCGAATCTAAAGTATTTGAACACATTGAGACTTGATAATAATTTGATCAGAAAGTTTCCTAGCCAAATTTTTGAGTGAGTGGTTCTGGAGACCTTATCTCTAAACAACTGTCAGATAATGTACATCCCAAGTGGGATCAAGGAGTGTGGCCATCTGCAGACTTTCCATATAAACAAAAATCCAATCCGTTACATCTCGAGTAATATCCGATATTGAACGAGTCTTAGGGAGATCTCACTCGACTGGATCAGCTATCTCAATTATGACTCAAAGAGGGACCATAGCAAAATAGAGGAGGACCAGGACAAAGAAATCTGGAGAATCGTCAAATCTGTCTTGTTCTATAATATTGAGGAGATCATTGCAGGCTATAATCCAACCCAGACTCATTTCGACCCTGACCTTGAGATGATCCAGAAACAGCTTTCTGAACAAAATAGTGAGCATGGTGATGATATAGTCGATAGTATCAGCTTTGAGCTGTTCCTTGTTGAAGCTTATAAACTCAAATTCCAGCAGAAAAGCGTGGATCTTGCTCATGTGAGGCTCAAAAATAACTGGAATCTTTTACATATGGCAGTGGAGTTAGACCATCTGTACTATATAAGAGTATTTAGCGCCCTGAAAGTTTCATTCACAGAAATTGATCTTGCTTTAAATACTCCATTTCGATTGGGAATACACAAGTCTAAAGCAATGAGAAGTTTATTGCTCTAAAGATCATGCAAGAGAAAGGGGTCTCTGCAATGCAAAGTTTTGGGTTAATGGAATCATCTTTGAAGATATGTCTTGATAAGGGAGATCTTGACTGTGCTCACATGCTAGTCAAAGACAATACTTTTATAGCCGATTTGCTCAACCAAATTGATGAAGATTATAAAAGAACCCGATGAACACATTACTTGCTTATTTCTTGCTTCAAAGTTTATGGTAAAAGTCCTATAAAAGCTGCTGATATCACTGACGTAATTCTAAATATCCTTGGAGGAGACGTACTCTCCACTCTAGATGATACAACCCCCATTCTCGAAGCATGCAGGGTATCAAAATTCAGTTGTGTCAAGTATATCCTTGAGAAGAAGCTTGTTGACAACTGGCAAGAGCTTGTTGATCAATTTGGTAAGAACATCTTCCACTACACATGTGAGTTTGACGAGTTTGACCTGACTAAGAACATTATTGAGGATATCATGATTAATCAAGATCCATATAAAGCCTTAGGCAGCATGATTCTGAAGCACTGCAGTTCTCAAGGACTTACTCCAAAACTTTACGCAGACCCTCACAGGGTAATCTGTAAATATATAGTTAAGATCGAGAAGCTTGTCTTGAAGCACACCATTAATTTGAGAAAAGAAGAAGTCAAGAATTCCCTTAAAATTCAGGACATCCATGTTGGTACTGTGTAAGCCCAGGCTATTTAATTCTTTAGATGTTCCAAGCAATATCAAAAATTGGTTCAAAAGAAAGCCAATTTTAGGCAATGGAAGAACTTTAAAGTTCAAGAGAAACAGGTGATGTTCAAAAATTATCTTACAAACCAGCTTGATGCTGTTGAGTTAAAGCGAAGAGGAGTCTCTACAAATGAGAAGAGAGTATACCAAAGTAGGTTTTCAAAGGATGAGCTTCTCAGTTTTTGTGAAATTAAATCATTTTTAGATCTAGCAAGTAGATTGAAGACGCCGAAAAGAATAGATCCAATCTTAATAAAGAGGAGTTCATTATTCAATGAAAACACAAGACGGCCAGTGAATACCTTGACAGCGCCAAAGAAAGGTGACAATACTGACTCCATTTCGCCAGTAAACTCAGAAGATGGTGCAGTTGGGTTGCAAAAATACTCAAATGACAAGAGGAACAACAAATTTTTCACTCAGAATAGAACCCTTAAGAGTTTCTCAACGCTCAGAAATCCAAAGGATTATCTAAAATTTGGGAAGAAGCCTCACTCTAATCCGTATAAGGGGAGGGATCCTTCCTCGAAGAGGGAGGATTCATCTCCCAGTATAAATTCTGAAAGAAAGGATTTCTCATTCAACAGACAGAGAATGTCTCAGAAACATTTTGAAAAGCTGCAAAAATCCAGAAAGAACACTATGATCCACCCAAGTTCGCCTTCTAGGAACTATTTGGACAACATTCAGTGTAAAGAAAGCAGTGATTATGGCAAAAATGAGGACTCACAGTCAAGTCATAAGGTCTCCTCGAAACTACAGAGAAAAAGCAGGGCTATTTTCCCACCAGACATTCGGAGGGTACGAAATGCTGATGAAATAGAGGTAAATAAGCAACTTAGTCATGCCAAACGTCCTCGTACTTCAAAATAATGATCTATCTAATTACAATGAAGATCAAATGAGTGAAAGAATGGCTAATACCTCCCCTATCAATCGAGAAATGCCAAGCAAGCTCTACTTGAAGTTGGATAAATTTAACGAGAAAATATTCGCTACTCCTGCAATTTCAGCCAGTATGTCTCTTGTCTAACTCTAGATTCTGACCGTAGCGCGGAAAGCAAGGAATTGTTCACCAATGAGAAGCCTAAGAGACTAGTCATGTCTTCTTTTAAGATGTACAATCACCCAAGCCTTCCTGAATCCACTCAGGTAAAATCTCAATACAAGGTGTTTAAAGGAAGCATCAACAGGAGTCATACTTTCATGGGTAACAAGTTCACCAAGAGTGAGAAGAAATGCAGAAGAAACCCAATTCTCACTGAAAAGTATCTAGATCTGATGCAGGAGGACTTTACTGGTAAGGAAGGCGAGATCCAAGGAGTTATCCAAAAAGGAAAGGACTATAAAACTTTCAAAATGTATGATTTCTAGTTATGACATTTTAGGAAATCGAAGCTTAAAACAACCTCTCATCAGCTTAAGAAAAGAAATTCTAAATGAAAAAGAACGAATAAGGGTGACTTCAAATTCTTAGTGAGGGATGATGCATGTCTGAATGATAAAGAACTGAACTTAAGCAACGCTATCAACCATCCTATCCCAGGCTTAGTTATAAAGTCCCAGTTCAAGAAGAGCATAGAGGTAAAGAAGGAGTTTGGTCAGAAAAAATTGATAAAACAGAAGATAAGAGATAACTACATAACTCCAAAGATGAAGGTGAACAAGACTTTTCCTAATAGGGAATATAACTTTATCAACAATCCAGGGGTTCCAAATTATGTAAATAATGAGCCAAAGAGGCAGCAGCTGATGCATATCAGGCCTCATCTTAGGTGAAGACAGTAAATTCTATAACTCTTTTTAAAATAGGGGTTTTGGGGTTTTGGGGTTTTGGGG